GCTGGGAGAGACTGGGACACTGCTTCTCCAGTGCCACTGAATGAGAGAGAGAGGATTGTCCCCAGGTCCCAAATGGCAGCGGGGTTGCAGTGTGGTGGGGAGGGTCCTGAGGAGCTGGGGAAAGGCAGCCAGGGCACAGGAGGTTGCGTGTCCTCACACAAGATCTTCTTCCTGCAGTTGGACCCTTTCTATGCCTCCATCATCCTGTTTGTGGGGAGAGCATGGGATGCCATCACAGACCCCATGGTGGGCTTCTTCATCAGCAAAACATCCTGGACGCGCTTTGGCCGCCTGATGCCCTGGTAAGAACAACCTGTAGCACCCCGCATCCCACTGACCCCACTGTCACTGTGTTCCCAGACAGCTTTGGGTGCCCCTTGGCATGAGGTTTGCAGGATAGGACATGCTGTCACCCTACCTCACTCACGTGAGGTGCCAAGAGCCCTAAAAAGCCAAAGGTGCTGCCAACAGCTGGGGCTTCAAGTCTGTGCCAGTTATTCTGACTGGTCCCAAGCCATCCCAGTGTGAGCTGGGCCAGCTGTCCCCCGTGTCACTGTGCCTGCAGCAGTTTCCTCATGGGACTTTGTTCTGTGGCAGGGCCACGTTTCCAGCAGAGCAAGTGGCATCGCAGCTGTATGGAGGAGGGATGGGGGTGTGCAGGGCGGTGGTGGGTGCCGGCTGACAGTCACGAGGACGCTCGCCTGGCAGGAAAACGGCTGTCATGGATCTGGGTGCCCACACGTGGGTGCCTCCACTGCCCTTGAGGTGCCAAAGGAAGTCAGAGCAGATGGGGGTTTGCAAAACCCCAAAGGGCTCATCCCCGCACCCAGGGCAGATTTAGGACATTCATAGACACCTGCCCCTGTGCAGGACACAGAGCGTTGGAGGGTGTTAATGCCTAAATGTGGTCATGGTGGCATGTCCTGCACTAAAATAACCCGCGTCCTGGGCGCGTGTGGGATCGCTGAAATACAATGCAGCAAGGGGGGTGGGCATGGGGGGAGTGCAATTAGAGAGACACAGTCCTTTCCCCCACAGATTATACCCTCTGCTTCCGGGCTTTCCTGGAATAGCTCTGGGCAGTGGCATCGGCCGTTGTTAAAGCCAGGCTCCACGCATGGCCTGAAATAGCTCCTCTGCAGCCACACGTGTGGTGGGGTCTGGGGTCTGGAGATTAGAGCGGGGCTGTGTGGGACAGCCTGCGTGCTCGGATGGCGGCCGCAGCTCCGCTCTCTGTAATCTCGCGTCCTCGAGGCAAGGGGTGGGGATGGGGCGGCTGCATTCCTCCGAACGGCTCCTGCTTCGTTAAAATTAGCCAGAGCTTTCAACTTGCGCTGGGCCCCTCAGCAGTGCCAGGGCAGCTGGCTGTGAGGAGCTCGCTGCTGTTGTACGTGGCTCAAGGGCAAGCGGCTGAGTCCGATTTGGATGGAGTTGAGCCGAGTTCAAACCTCCCAAACTCGGGGTTTGTCTGTGTGGGACTGCACAGCCCCAGGCTGGCGTGGCTGTGGAGCTGCTCTCTGCCTCAGTTTCCCTGCGTGCGAAGCCAGGAGCTGCAGGACGTGGCTGCGGGGTGGCCTCAGAGGCTGCTGCCTAACCCCAAACCACAGCACCTGTGAGGTGACCCTGTGTGTGAGGCTTTATTGTCCACAGTTTCTCTGCAGGGTCTGATCTGTGGGGCTGAGTCCCAACCAGCAGCTCCAGCTCAAAGGTTGGGGCTGCTTCTGGTACCTGGGAAGGGAAAGGAGACTTCTCCCAAGGGCTCTTGCCCTTGCTCCCTTTCAGGTTTCTTTTTGAAACACTTGGCAAGCTTTGTCCCAGCAGCTCATCCCTGTCTGCCTCTTCCTCTCCCCTGGCCTCAAGAACCCCCGCTCTGTCCCCAGCCTTGAGCAAGTCCCCGTTTCCTCGATCATCCCAGACTTCCCAGTGACCAAACTTTTCTTTGATGTGTTGGTGACTGAAGAGTCTCAGCTTTAAACTTCCTTCTCCGGGGCAGCAGCCGTTTTCAAACAGTTAACCGCCGGGCTGGGAAGGGGTGTGCGAGCCGTGGCACAAAGGAACACACCATCGCGCCGCGGCCAATGAGCGAGCATGAGCGGGCACGTCACCGGCGGCCTCCTCCGAGCGCCTCAGTCTTAATCACCTCGGTCAGGGGTAACTCGGAGTCACTGTTCCACCGCTGCCAAGAGCTGCCGGTCACCCCTGGCCAGGGCTCAGCAGCTCGGTGCCGGCGCACACGGTGGGCCACCGG